ATTGTCACATATGTTATCTCGAGCGCTTTAAAGGCGTCTAGGTTTGCTCAAGTTTGCATAAGCAAACCCATTAAAGTGGGTTATGAAAGCGCGGCAAATGAAAACCGCTCTAAATTGAAATTCTTAATAGAATTTGAAATTTTTCGTTTCATTGCTTTCTGCATAGGATTGACTGTTGGAACTGTAGCAATCAGTCTTGGTCTTGGTGGAATACTTGGTGGAATACATGGGGATTGGACTGAACGCAAGCGCTGCTGGCGCTTCGATTGGAGGTGATGCTACTGTAAGTGTGTTGAGAAACAACATCCACTAAGGGAAAGAGGAGAAAGCGCTTGACAAAAAAAATTCAAGAATTTAAAACTAAATTGCAGGAATTAAGCACGATTACGAAAAGACGTCATTTAGGTGTAAAATGTTACTACAACAATTAAATGTACTGCAAGAATAAATTTTTAATGAACGCCTAGTGATGTGAATCATTAATAACCAAGCTAATTTCGACATTTTGAAACCCAGAATTGAAATAAACAAAATTTTTAAGTCTCAGAAAAATTAACTCTACAATTTACATTTCAGTATCTCTCCTTGACATCTATTGTGTAGCGCCCAAATGCAAATTTCAATCCAAAAAGCCTTTTGTTCGAGCATTAAGGCAATTGCTCCCCGAAGCTACTCAAATATCAGCAAAAATCTAGTCCCTTAGCTTGACCGATGAAAACTTATTTTTCAGCCATATTACAGGGGTATTTAATCATGTTTTAGCCTGGCTATAAATTTTAGTTGAAATGCTGGAGCCCGTGGCTTCGGTGGTTTGACTTGTAATAGAGTACTTCTTATTAGATATCAGATATACTAAGAAATTTTAAGATTGCAGTTCTTGTACAAGAAATGATTACTCAGTTGAACGCTCACACGGATCTACTGTTTCACAGCATTCAGTCTTTTCGTAATTTGCTCAGTGGCCCAGCTTTTAATTGTTTATACTACACACTTTTTTCTTCTGCTGAATATCTATCTACCAGGTATGGGCTGGTGAACCATTTTGAAACATTACAAAGTGGCCACGAGAGAACTTTGTATAGAGATTCTCGCAAGTATTTCTTTCATGAAAATTTTATACTGCGATTTAATCTGCCTTTAATTCTAGATTTCTCTTGAAACTTATTATTGTGGCTGCATACTTTGCAGCCTCTCGTAAGCTTACAACGTTTAATCTCAACTTCCCCCTCAACTTTCTTGCGCACAGCTTTTCTCTTGAATGCTATATATTTTAACCCATTCAGTTGATCTCTGCCAATCAGCGTATTGAGTACTTATGTATAATGTTAGGACAAATAAGCACTATCAAGCACTATTTCTATCAGTGTTGCCTAGGTCATTCTGATTTATACTCTCTTACCTTTCATCACCCAGGGCGCTTATAAAGCCCTCCTCTGTGGAAGTGCAGTCTCTGTACCGGCGTTTGGTTAGTGTTGAAAATACGGTTAACCAAGACGAACCTTTGCGACAAATTATTATCGATTCATCGCAGTTACTCATGTTTTACTCAGGAAAGTCGGCAAATTGCGTGTAATTACGGAATGGAGAAGACCGATTAATTGTTTTCTTTGCGTTAAATCGTAATCCAAAGTTAAGAAATGAGAAGAGGAATTTAGGCTGAATCAATTTAAAGCCTCTCAAAACCAAGTCAAAATATAAATTGAATTTTTTTTGTGACTTTGTATGGCTACTCAATGAATAAGTTTCTAAAACTTGCTGAATCTATACCATTCCCTCTTTCTCCCAATTAAGACAATTGACTTTCAACAAATCTTCCTTTGTTTACCCTTTGTAAGAGCTGCCTCGATAAATGAGGATTAAAGATTAATGAAAGTGATCGAACAATAATAATAATAATAAATCGAACGATAACTTATATTTCACGATGATCAGCCGCCTGAGGGTCCTCTAAATACAGAAATGCCAGTGACATATAACGAGGAAATTACATTGGAATAAAACGAAAAATGACACAAATGTCAATGAACCAGCTTATCGAGATATTATCAAAATGGGAAATAGGGTAGAAAAAGAAATGTTGAAAATTGAGTGTTGTCGGAGGTGAACGACTCATTTCATTTGGTCAGAGATTCGAGAATTCCCAGCTGTTGCAAATGATGTAATGTTAGGTGAAGCCATTCACCGAATAGATTGCCTCCCGTTATCTGTCGGGAGATTAGGACAACGAAAACCTAAATTTAGATCAAGAATGTTCGTCTTGGTTTACACGTACATAGAGGTAGCAGAAACTGAGACTAACTTTTCCTTATCCACCTCAAAAAGCGATATTGTACTTATAACCAATATCATAATCATTAGTCTGCAAAAGACGTTTAGCTAGATTGAGGTCTTCCAGCGAAGGGATCAGGGTTTATCGTAGTGTTGAAAATATAACGTATACATATTCAAGTTACTGAGATAAAAGTATGGCGTATATTACGTATATCATTCATATTTGCATAATACAAGCTCACATTCTAGAGGATGAAAACTTTTTTTTGATGTTCATATAAGCTCACATCTTATAGAATGGACACTATTTTTGCTATTTTTATGTTCATATTCTTCTTCTAAGAAAATGTAAACACGTATGTTTTACTTAGAACGGACGATTCTTTTCGCTCGGAAATATGTGCTCCTACCGTATGGAGTGCTGAAGGGACTTGGGCGAGCAATACAGCAAGCTTGGACTTGTCTCTTTGTCTAAGAGGAATTGAACACTTTTGAAAATAATTTAGTTTTAACCATAAAGAGACTCTGAAGCCGACATTTCAAGCGTTAGCCCGTCTCATAATCTCTTGCTCTTCGTCAGAGCGGATCCATTCGCTTTAACGAAGAGATTTGACGAAGAATTCAGTCCAACAAAGGGCTAAAACTCGAAATACCAACTTTAGAATCTCTTTCAGCTCAGTTGATGAAACCAAATTACCTTGTAATACCCCCATCGACGCAGGACAAAAGTTTCTCTTGAAACTTGCCCCCTTAATTTATGATTTCAGCAACTTTCAAAAAAAAATAATAAAACAACAATTGGATTCGGTTTTTGTGATATCCAGAACAATCAAGGTCTCGGCGAGGGTTATCAGCCTCAGCCTTCTTTTCGGCTGATAATCTCTACCTCGGCCTTGGTTATTCTGGATAACACAAAACCGAATCTGATAATTGTTTTATTATACATGGAACGAAAAAAAATTATCACGACAGTAAGTGGGACAGATAATTTATTTCTAAACGTGTAAAAATATACAAATCAGCGGCACATAATTCGATTGACAAAAAGTCTACGCATTAGAAAATATGTGAAAAATTGAGTAAAAGCTAGTTGAGAAAGTAAATAGCAATAAGTAAGTTTAACTGAAGAAAATATCGAAGCAAACCTGGATGTCATGTTTTTTCTTCCGCACTAAAGGCAAGCAACACAAAGCGCGCGAGCTTCACATGACTACCCTTAGAAATCATGCACCGCAACCGTTATACATGACACGATTACTCGTTTCCTTGAGTGATCTCGACATGATTATTGTATAATCTGCAGCTAGATGATGTCGCAAGCGCTGATTTCGAAATTTCACTGTGCGCTTTCGGTCAATCAGGAGAGAGATAGTGAGTTGAATGTCTAATAAAAATGCTTAATTGCCATGATTGAACATCATCTCGTTCAAAGAGGGTCAGGCAATCGAAAATTAACCAAGAATGTCATCTCTAACACATGCTAACACCAGACCAACTTTGGAAGCTTCTGACGGAAAGCTGAGCGAGAAAAATAGACCAAAAAAATAACGGTGAAAAGTATTATGAGTTTACAGTAAACACGATTTTCTTGGAAAATGTGCTGCTTCTAAGATTCCAAGAATTGCAAAACATTTTAGGAGATGCAAATTGTATATTTTGAATTGTTGTTTTATCATCCAGTTGTCTTTTGGCTTTGATAGAATTAATAATCGTAAAAAAACTTCAAATGAAAACAATAATGTAAAGAGTTTACTTAAAAAGTGCTAAACCATCCCTTCGGTTCAGGTCAGTAGGCACAGTTAAATAACTTCGCGACAATAATTCGTTTCACCCGGAACATTCCTAAAATGCACAGAAACAATGCTTTGGCTCAATAACTCTATGTTTGGGAAAATCCAATTCTTCCCCCATCGACTATTTTTGTCGATTGCTCTCAACGTTATTGATACGGGCTGGAGATTGCATTTCAGATTACATTGCTGAAGAAAAATAATCCTGTGGTGGCTCGCGACTAGTGATTTCCAAGAAGGACCGGAAGACATCTACAACAAAGAATACGCATGTAACACAGTGAAATACAAGCAACGTTGCCACCAAAATATTTTACGGTGTTATTTGCTTTTTTGAAATTTACAGCTTTACCATAGCTAAATCATCGCGATATTTGGGAAGAAAATTAGAACTTTAACTATCAGTATAAGAAATGTTCCATCAGAAGCTTAGTAAATCAGTCTCTTTCTTTTTCTCAGAGACACAGATGAAACTTGAATTTACGTACTTTCAGGTTATCGGTTTTCTGAGCTGTTTCTTTAGTGAGTTTATTTCGCTATTTAATCGGAAGAATCGAGAGATATTAAGTTTCTATTCTGAACTCAGAACCTTCCAATCAAAACCACAAAGCCAAAAAGGAATGAAAAAGTCGCTCGTTTAACATGGAAAAGCCGTGAGCTTGGCAACAAGATCAATTATGATAAATGAATATGAAAGCAATTTTCGCAGTAATAAACACTACTTCAGCAAATAAGGCCCGAAAAAAATTCAGGCCTATGCGGGATTGAACGCATGACCTCTGCGAGAACATGTTCCTTTAACTCAAAGGTGGATGTATAAATCTTTCTTTCCTTGGGGTGCATGAATTAGTGTTTGTTTTCCGTTATTCAATTTGTCATTTGGGTGAAAGGGAACAAGTACTATTACCAGCTGTTGGCAATTATTTAATATTCTTCAGTTATGTGATACAAAAAAAAGACCTCGAGCTATTTTGTATTCAAGTCGCGTGACAATCAGGTGACGAACAGCGAAAATACCAGCGAAGCATTTTCGTTTTAGTAAAGGAATTGAAGGTAAGTATTTAGTCCTTTCTTCCTCAGTATATCAAATAGTTCTTCACAGCCAATTCTGTTCGAAAGTGAAGCGGTAAGTAAGGTTGAGAGAACTTTTTGATAATCGTGCTGTAGGTCAGTCATCTGATAGGATTCGATAAAAAGTTTACTTGTCTTCCGCTCATAGCTCACAGTTCTTCAACGTCTCTCGAGGAGAAAAATACCAGCAAAGCATTTTCAGTTTTGTACAGGAATAAAAGCTAGGTATTTACTTTTTTCTTTCTCAGTATATGAAATAGTTCTTCGTTCTATGGCTCAGTCTGAACGGCTAACATAAAAATCAAAACTGATTGACAAATTTCAAGACATCATGCCTGTGATCTTGTTTGTCGAACTGAATTCCGTTTACATCACGTTCTCGTTTTCAATTGTAATCATCATCTTAAAGAACATCTTTTGCAAAATCAAATGGCGTTCAGTTAAGAGTTTCCTAAAGGAATTTTATGTCACATTTCGTTACAACTCGGTTTGTGCTGATGAGACAAAATCGTACGAACATTTCTCAAAGTTGATTCGTGTAGATAGAGGCCACATCCTGATTCGCTCTGACGAAGGGCTAACGCTAGAACTAGAAACGATCTGACAAAGGGCGACCGCTAGAAACGTAGGCCTCAGAAAGTCTTTATCACGTTATTTAAAAAAATCAGAGTATCCGAACCGGCAACAATCGACTGACCACAACTTTTCTTTCGACTTTAAAATGACTTCCGCTCAGGTTTTTGAAACATCAGTCGCTATTACCGATAACTGTCCCTCACCCGGACGATCAGACTACACGATCAATTAGGTGTAGTGCCGACCTCTTAAAGTAAACCAGACTTTGGATGATTTTGAATTCTAAGTGCAGTTCACGGCAACGATTGTGCGCGATTGTGATTAGTGCACCGACTTGGAAGTTCCATTTATGGATAAAATTTGAAATACTGAATGCAATCGTCATAAGTCAACACATGTGTATTTGTAGCTTTCGATCATCAAAGACGATCGAAGATTTTAGCCACATCGATTTCCCAAGAAAATGGCCACTCTTTCATATTAGATATTTATGTGACTTTACAGTGCAAAACTTTGAAGTGTGCTTACCTTTCTGTTGCCTCTCAGTGCATTGTGATTGAGTGGAATGAAATCATCTCATTTTCGTCCCCTTAAGGTTTATTTAAAGCTTAATTTGTTCAGAAGGTGCAATTTTTGAAATAATCACAGTGAGATAAACGAAAAATTCACCTTATTCCGGATTTTCTTGGAAAATGCTCATGTAATGGCTAAAGGATTTCAAGACTTCCTGTTAAATTCAGAGACAGAAACATACAATCTACCCTAGAAATATTGTATTTACTACAAGTAAAATTCGTTTGTTACCCTTTAGCACATATTGGATCAACATCCAGAAAATTTTAGTTTCAAAACACTTTGACTGATTTACAAATGTAAATTGCAACCTTTTAGGTGACAACAAAGATTTTCTTCGGAACGTACTCGACCTTGTCACGGTAGCTAAGCATGCACATTGCGATTTTGTTTTTTTTTTCCGGAAAACTTCTTAGAATGCGTAAAAACAGTTCACAGAATGCTGCTTAAAACTTCAGGGCATTTCCAGAAGTTTCGATAAAAGCCGTCGTTTATAGCGGCCTACACCTGCTATAAAGTCCTATAAGACCGCTTACCGCTGTTTGTTTAGCCTGCAAGCTGAGTGTAGTGTTTGGGTCTCGCCTTATAGCCTTCTTTCTGGGCACAGCCGCCTTTTACACCATCAGCAGTCGCTTATGGGAAAAAAATATTGAGACCCCTGCATCTCTGCGAAGTACCGATCAAAATAGTGCGTCGAAAAGCGTGGAAAATGAGATGGATGCTTCCGTACAAAAGCGTTGGTTAAAGAGAGTTAAACTTGCATTATGGCATGCCGAGAGGGACTCGAGGTTATGGACCTTCACTTGATATAATACGTGTTTACAACTAGAACATACATGTCATTGAATTTTAAAATGGGTTTGCTGATCTCGGGAGGAAAATGAAACGAAATTTGAAACATGATTAAAGAAAGCTGGAGTTTTGCATCTTTCTATCCTTCATCCCTATATATGTTTGCAGTGAAATAAACCCAATAAAAAAGCTCTGAAAACATCTCATTGGAAGTAAATAAATTTTTTAACGGCCTTTCTAAGAAAAGATGGAAAGATGATGTACCCCGACTCTTTCTAAGGGATCAGGCATTCAACATTGTGGTTACCGAAGATGTTACTTAGATGTAGGGGAATAAGAACAAGTGTTAATTTCAGGAAAAGAACCCTACTACCAGCTATTTGGAAGTATTTAAAGTCCATTTTATTATATGATAAAAGTGCTCTTAGCTATCGTTGACCGACTTAAGAGTGGCAAAGTTTTCTAGCGTGGGCTGTTTGGGTCGCGTGACAGGCTCATGACACGATCAGCAAAACAACCGAAGCATTTTCAGTTTCATTTTTAGGCAGACATAAAAGTTAGGCATTCGCCCCTAGCTCTCTCATTGTGGTAAATAGTTTTTCACAGTTCATTTTGCGCAATCAAAAAAAGGTAAGTAAGGTTGAGAGAACTAGTTAATCATTATTCTGTTGGTCAGTGTTAACCGAGCGACCATTTTGGTTTGCTGCGGCTCATTTATCATTCGCTCATGGTTACCAAAGTTTCTCTTCTTTCAAATAGAATTGAAAAACAAGATTAATTTCCTTAACTAAGCTTATTTTTCTATAGAAGACGAGGGAAAGATCTCTTGATTTCCTAGATGTAAAGTTTTCGTAAGGTGCCCATTGAGAATTTCGAATTTGTATAGTGAACAAAACATTGAACAAACCGAAACATTTCCGTAATACCTCCTCGCTCGACAAATAGATATACGGGTTAGAACATAAAAAAAAATTAAAGGGCAATAACAACAACTATTTGAGAGAAATCCTTTCCTTTACGGTCAGGAGACGCTGTGCGGCAAGATCCGAACGGCAAAAATGACAAAATTTCAAGACATTGAATTCCTGTTAGTATCACACACTCGTTTTCAACCGTAAGAATCATCCACGAAAAAATTGCCCTTTAGTTGTTTCTTTCTTCAATGTCGACCTAGATAGGCAAGTTAAACTGATTAGGAGCTGATGAGACAAAATTGCAAGAGCATTTCTCAAAGCCGTAGCATGTGAAGATAGGCCAACATTGACATCATGGTCACGTACTTAACAAAACCTTCTTAAAGACACAGCATACAATAAATCGGGATGCTGAGTTTGAAATTAGTGTGACGGAGTACGTTCCAAAATTAAAAACTGTTTCGCATCATTCATGTGATCAGAAGAGATTCTGAACAAGCTATGGTTGTTGTTGTTTCTAGGAAACTATAAGTCTTCAATCTGACCTTTTCGACATCACTCAAAGTTTAATGATTTTACCTTAAATGTAAGCTTTCCTTACCTTCATGGTTAATTTGTGTTATCTTCAACTTGCGATGTTAATTGTAAAGGACAAAAAAAGGAACGGATTTGCTGCGGAAGTTAAAGGAGGTTCTTATGACCTTCGAAACGTATCTCTCTCTATCGGAATAAACACAGAAATTGGCTTAAATAACAATTATTCATTCCGATAAAAATTCCGTCGATCGTTCTACTTACGATCGACTCAAAATAACCGTTCACATCTCACAGTGGGTCTAAAAAGATAAAACATAGACCTAAACTAATATATTTTAAGTGAAAAAATTCTTAATATGTCGCAAATAAATAATTTGAAGAGCAGATTCCAAGAGCAGCTTACTTGGTTTGCACGCCTGCATGTTTTCGTGGAAACCAAAAGCATACTCATGTAATACGCGAGAGTTGTCAACGTTTTAAAAACAGATTCGATCGATCAAATGTATTGTATTGTAAATTTATACGTAGTTGCTGCATATGGCTCAAGTATTTATGCAAACTTTAGAAAAGGTAAGAAATTTGTTCTTCATTGTAGCTTCGTCCATCCGTGAAAGCGAAGAAAATTTCGATTATGATTTGCACTCAAGTGAAAAACTACGTTATTTTGATTTCACAACTCACCTTCAGTCGACTTGCGACGACAAATTCCTCAGTTCTGTGTTTTATTGGTTCCAACAACGGAGGAATATATATTTTCGTGTTTATATGTACCATGAAATACCTAAATTTTAAGCTCAGACAAGAAAATACATTCATCCTTTCTGAGAAAATGTGTGTCGTAATTGTTCAGGATTCCAAGAATTTTATCACACATCACAGCTTTTCATTCTCTTGTCAAGCGGTCAGACTTTTACTTATCCTTCTGATTGCTTTTTTTTTTCTTTTGGATGTGTGGAAATGATCAAAATAGATTTCAACAAAACGTTTTTAAGCGCAATTTTGGACGAGGAGCGAGAATATTTATTTCAAAGTGGACCCGTCACGCGAGTGAAAAGTGTTATTGTGTGTTAGGTCACGAAAGCCATTCAAACACAGTGAGACTGGGTATGTTTCTGTCTTTCCCCATATATTCCAACTTGAGAGCAAAAAGGTGCCGCAATTATTTTTTGCCCTTGGGAAAAAGTTTTTGATTGATTCCTTGTTCTGGAACTCGAAGTTAATTACTCAGCGTATCACGAACATGTTTGCACATTTGCATATATCCACATGTAACTCGGGATATCTTGTTAAGTTTGTTGATACCAGTCGGTTTCTAAGAAATAGACAGAAAACTCACCAAGTTTAGGCATGGGATTTTAAAACATAACTAACACACTTATAGAAAAAATAACCTCAATGCTTTAGCTTAGAGAGGTTCAGAAAGATTCTCGAATTGCATTTCACAAGACTGTTGTTATAAGTTAGACGAGTGGCATAGATCGCGATCGATGTCATTCGACAGGTTTTTTTGAGAAATGCCTTTGCCATCCAATTAAGATATCACTCGCTGAGGATAATTGAGTCCTCTTAGCATTGAAAGATAATATTGAAAACAACTTCCTGGTGTTTTTTAGATAACTTGCCCACGAGTTAGGAGCGCATGATTCTATTTATCAATCATTCTTCAAAAAAAAAAAAAAAAAACATTCAAACTACTGTTTACTTACATGCCATTGCTCGCAGTTTATTTATCTGGGAGTCTCCTATGCAATGCAAAAGTTTCATTCCAGGAAATTTGGTGCTAAAACACCTAAGTTATTACAAATCTTCAATAATGTTGATCCAGTATAAATAAATTGTAATAGGCATTTTAATCACAGATTCCTAGCTGAAAATCGAGAGTTGCAAAGAATATGTATGAACCAGAATACTACAGCGTAGGTCTTATTCAAAGCTCTGTTCCATCTGGCAGGAATTAACCGTTTTGAAGAAAGAGAGCCAAAATGGTGGATAACGGAGATTCTGTAAAGGGGTCCGTTCAAGATTCGCTTGATGATAAAAAGACGTTACCAACCCCTTTTCAAGAGACTGGTAATCGACAAGTTTCAGAGCTAGCCCCTCATCGTCAACCACGGGGAATTGAAGCTGAAAATCCATCAGCAACAAAAAAGCTGGCCGAAGTAATAGCAGCCCTGCTTGTACTTATGTTTAACTTGCCGGGGGGATCCTTCGCCATTGTTCTGAGTACAGCGCGTACAGTGGTTCAATATATGCAAATACCACCCGTAGACATTGAACGACGGGACAAAATGAAACGTGACGTAGAAGAAATTCAACTTAATATGAAGCAAATATGCAATGACGAGAGCAAATTGGAGGACAAGGTAAATTTGCACTTTCAAGATACTCACAGCGTCATTTTACTTAACTTAGATAACGATCACTAAGTATTTGCATTTCATCCATATTTTGTTCAGAGTGTTTTCGCTTTAAATCATACAGAAGATACTTAATCAAGAGCAGATCCTAGGATATGTATGCTGTAGAGCTGTTTATCATAAACATTTCGAAATTCCCAGCAAAAAAAAACCAAACGACATCACAAACTTCAGGCGCCAGAGCAGGAATAAACCTCAAAAGTGTTGACACAACAGCTACAACAGCCATGAATGTTACTGATTCCTCCCACCCCATGATTTTCATGTACTATTATTACTATCAACACCCCTTCTACAATCAGTACCATTACATGGCAACCAAAGCCAACTGTAATAATTAACTGCCAACATCAGCAAAACTAACTCGTAAACCGCCACATCGAAAGCGCAATCGAGCGTTGCCACTTGTAGCAATAAAACCCTGCGCTGGAGATTTCTATTGCGTGATAGTTGATAGTGGAAAAGCCCGAAAAAACTATCAAGCATAGAAATCGAGAGCGGTTATCCAAATGTTTTGGTAGAAAGGTACACTTCTTTCAAAAGTTAACAAGTCAGGCTAATATTTTATATAATTTTGTTTACCACCACACACTGTTAGGCTACCCATCGTACTCGCTCTCTATCACGGAATAGATGGCGAGTAGCGTAACCAATCAGATTGTAACAATTAAACTAAAGGAATAGCAAAGTTACCGAGGACTAAGAGTAAATTTCAAGTGTCAAAATCATTTTGCAGTTTGGCAACTTCCCTTACCATTCAACCGTCGACTTGATAAAGTGGGAATGGGATTTGAGAATCCTAAGGGGTCGTTTAGCCAGATGTGGAGTCGACATACACATTTTACAAGGATTGGTGACTAAACTGGTATCAGAAGCGCACACTGCAGTCAAGTGGACGTTTCCACAAGTAATCACAGGGCTTCTCCTCGCAAGTGCAGTATTTGGACGTAAGTTGATCTTTCTTTTGTTTGTAATAGGGTGTTAGTTTAGTTGCATCTGACATTGGCCAAAAATAAGGAGATGACAGCAATAGAGTGCGAGAGAGTGTGTTTAGCTTGACTGCTTTCCCTTAAGACCCTGCACGAAATCAAACTTATTCATAAAATGAAATAATTCCCAAGGAAAGATAGTGAGCTCGTAAATACCTCTTACTACTCGAGTTCGATGTCCGAAAAGCAAGATACAGCCTCCTCCAACGAGTGGAAAACAGCCGATAAACACGAGCCAATCAAAGCTATGCATTATGCTTCATAAGGTGTCGCGTAACGCTGTCGGCTTTATCAATCAAATTAAATGCTGAAACAGAGCGAAGTCGAAATGTCGTTATCCACACCGTGAGTAACTACATCTCCTCTTTCCATTGCTCCATTTCAATCGTTCTTTAGATCGCTATTACTGGGCTTCCATGCCAGGCGTTTGGGAAGGTGGTTCTTTGATCCTGGTGCTGATTTTGCTCGTGCGCAAGGCTCACGAGTACTACATCATTGATCAGATGGTCCGTGAGGGCAACAGAGTCAAACGGGAATTAGAAGAGTCCCGGCGCTGTTATATGAAGTGCAAAGTAACCTTAGAGGAGACCTTGCCTTCTTTGAAAGAGATGGTTGATAAATTTGATGGTGGGTCTTCCTCACCAAAGATTAAGAGTGAATGATTTGATTTGCAAAAGGCTCCAAGAGGCTTATTTCTGAACTAATTACTGGCAGTAATAGCTTAAAAAGCAAAGGAAAAAACTCAAAAGCTAGAAGCAAAAGTGGAAGAGGTGAAAACTGATTTGATGTCATTTTGTTGAGTTATTAAGTAAGTTCTTACCGAATTTTTCCAAACGATGACTTACTGCTACTTTTTCTCGAAGAAGATAATTTGAAATCTTCCTCGTGTTATGAAAGGATTGTTTTGCTAGCACTCAGGTTTTTGTTCTTCCAGTTTAAATTTGGAGTTCACAATGAATGAAAACAGGTAGGATTCTACAAAGTACCTCGAAAAGGCCTCTTGAAGCTAAATGAAGGACTCGAATCATCACACTTAATCAAGTAAACCTAGAACCTAACTCATAAAGTTAACTTTTATCTTATAGAGCTTGAGATAACTCTCATTTGGGGATGGCGAGTAGAAGCACATGGTTATAGCTAAATAGCTAATCCACAGACTTTGAAATTAATAAGGAGTTAAGTTGGATAGCCTTATGAACCATGACATAGCTTGATGAAAGAACAAAAAATTTATGAAAGAGCCACAAAATGTTAGTTGCCTTCTCTCACCTTTGTTCGCGCAACAAAGTGGAAATACGAAGTGACCATTACGAGTATCAAACAACTGAAGTCAGACTCAAAAAAAGTATTTTGATCTTCAATGGTGTAGCTTATTTTGTTATGATGAGCTGTTTCCACATGACTCGATTAATATTAATATTTATGGGTAGACACGAGGCACAGAAGGCTCACAACATTGTAGTTTTAAGTTTTGTATTGATTTATGTATTTGTTTTAAAGTCCCCTTCATTGTCCTAAAATCTAAATCATGTTTATAAACTGACATCGCAACTATATAAACAGTTAAGTATTACTCTCTAGGTTAAATGTAGGTAAATAATGTTAAACGATAAAAATCGCTAGCGATGGATACCGTATGTTGTTTAGATATCTTTTTGTAATTTACTCTATTGGTGTTGGGAAATAAAGGGAAATGTATATTTAAAGGATCTGAGTGAAGTTTTTAGTCTGCTTCGTTGGTGCATTATTAATATAACTAAGAGACCTTAAAATCTTATCAATTCAATTCATTATGTTTAAACGGAGAAAAGAAAGCTTTCCCTGAGACGAGCAAACGTTGCGAAGGAGTGCATGCCATATGGGTGCAGGCATACTTCGTTTGATACCTTTTAACAGCGACGACGACTTTAAAAGACGTGTCTGATAAACGGCTGAAAAGGGTCTAGGAACAGCTTGTGTAGATATCGAGCCGATGCAAAAGTACAATGAACATTTATTCGTAGGAAAGGGGCATCGACCGAACATTGTTTAAAGGTTCGATTATAGAATGAGCTAGAAATGTGTTCAGAAATGACGCATCCCACCGAGATATTTCATTTGCAAAGCACTGAAGTTCTTCCTTAAAATGCTATTGTCGATTATTGTTGCGAAAATTGTTTTTAGATTTTTGGAACATACCTATTGTTGTTATGTGTGATTAATTTCCACAGGTGTTTCTCTCCTCACTCAATCGTCAATTTTAAGCTTATCGTTATTTCCACTTTTTTGTTGTAATTAGTTTCTAGTTCGTTTAAGAATGTTTTCAAAACTGGGATATTCATAGACGTAAGAGGGAAAAAATTATCGTTTTTTTTTTTTAAGTTTAACGAAGATATATGAAGTTTTGCATTCTAAAATGAACTTGTTCTCGTTTTTTACCGTTAAACCTGCATATAGGTGGGTTTCATTTAACATCTGCGAACACGCAACAAAGAAATTGACCGATGTTTTGACAACCTCAGCAGAAGAGACGATCAGAGGCAAATCAAGAGTTACTTTTCAGTCGAATGTTATGACAAAATGAGCAAAAGTCTAGAAAGAGAGGAAAACAATCTTTTACTTGATTCTCATAATGTTATGTTCTTATAATGTTAACTCATAATGTTAACTCTTATTTTATAAAGCTTAAGATAACTCTTATTTAGGGAACGTGAGTAGAAGCATATGGATACAGCTAAATAGCTAATTCACAGACAGTGGATAATAAGGAGTATAGTTGGATATCCTTATGAACCGTGACGTAGCTGGATGAGTGCAACCCTGCTGAAAGAGAAAAAAAAGTTTATGAAAAAGCCACAAAATGCTAGTTGCCTTCTCTCACCTTTATCCGCGCAACAAAGTGGAAATACGAAGTAACCATTACGAGTATCAAACAACTGAAGTCAGACTCAAACAAAGTATTTTGATCTTCAATGGCGTAGCTTATTTTATTATGATGAACTGTTTCTGCAGGACTCGATTAATATTACTATTTATAGGTAGACAAAAGGCACAGAAGGCTTACAACATTGTTGTTTTAAGTTTCCTATTGATTTATGTAATTTTTTTAAAGACTTCACTGTCGGAAAATCTAAATCATGTTTATAAACTGACATCGCAACTATTAACAGATAAATAAGTATTACTCTCTAAGTTAAAATGGAGATGAATAATGTTAGACGACACAAATCGCTAACGATGGATACTGTATATCGCTTAGGCATCTTTTTGTATCTTACTCTATTGGTGTTGGGAAATAAAGGGAAATGTATATTAAAAGAATCTGAGTGAAGTTTTCAGTCTGCTTCGTTAGTGAACTATTAAGATAATTAAGAGACATTAAAATCTTATCAATTCGGTTCGTAATGTTTCAACGGAGAACAGAAAGCTTTCCCTGAGACGAGCTAACGTTGAGAAGGAGTGCAAGCCACATGGGCGCCGGCATACTTCGTTTGATACCTTTTGGAAGCGACGATGATTATAAAAGACGTGTCTGTTAAGCGGCTGAAAAGGTTCTAAGAGAGCTTGTGTAGATATCGAGCCGGTGTAAAAGTACGGGGAAAATTTATCAGCAGGAAAGAAACATCGTCTGAACATTATTTAAAGGTTCGATAATAGAATAGGCTAGAGATGTGTTCAGAAATGACACATCACACTGAGATATTTTATTTGTAAAGCACTGAAGTTCGTCCTTAAAATGCTATTGTCGATTATTGTTGCGAAAATTGTTTTTAGATTTCTGGAACATTCAGGCTGCCAAAAACAGTTAACCCAACAAATATGCTGTTCAAGCAAATCGTCACCCGGAAGATCACAATGACACGAATGATTGTTGCTTCATTGCATCACAAATTATCTAGCTTTCCAGAGATACATTGTAAATAGTGGAAAAGGTAGAATCTGCCAAGACAAGTGACCATTCAGCCGGACCTTGTCCAGGTTTCTGTGGCATGAAGTAACTGGAGGTTTTGCTACTCCCCCTGGATGAGATGTTTGTCCGTAGCAAAGGTACCCTCCAACATTTCGTCAGGCTTCCCCGAACGTTTGCCGGAACTTATTCATAATCCTTGGTGGAAAAGGGAAACTATGTAGGAAAGTGTCCCGCCCAAGATCTAAAGTCTCACAGGAAAACCTGGAAGAAAAGTTAATGTTTCTCTGACGGTAAGAGTGATGAGCGATCACATTGGGTAGGATGGCAAACAGAGAAATGAGAATTTGAGTCTTTATGTATTCCAGAAAATACAGTAGAAAACAGGTCATTGTCCATGAATCATCAAGAGTTAAGATCAGTCATTTGTTGAGAAACCTCTTTGGCCTTTAATAGGTAACAAAGCAAGAAACGGCATGCGCGAAGGGGTCAATTTAGGCTGCCTGCGCGACAACTTACCGCGCGCCAACCTCCCGCGCAAAATGCAACCGCTCTCCCAAAAACAAGCGAATGATAACTGAAACTTTTGTATAAAAGGAAACAAAGTAGCCAAAAAGAAACCTCGAGACTTTTCGAGCTAAATGTTTATTCAAGTACGAGTATCCTGTTTATTTACCATTCTGTTTCGAGCTTTACCAAACAAGTTTTACGCTTCTAAAACACCGTGACTTGACGGCCGGCTTTATTTTTGTTACTTGTGTGAGGCAACTTGGTTCTGCCAGCCAGAACGTTTAAAATCCAATCTAAATTTATCCCACAATCGAGCAATATTCAGGGAATATCGACTTCAAAGTACTGAAGAGTGATTTCACATCAATGGACAAAGGCATATATTTCATGCCGAGGAAATTTTGGCCTATACTATTTTTCACCTCCACCCAGATCTGATTTCTTTAAAAAGACTATTACTTCCTACATCTTATTTTATTTACTTAAAATATCGTTACATAATTATAATAGATACAAAAACAAATAAAAAAACAAACAAATACATTCTTACGATAAAGATGCTTTCGATAAAGATGGTAAAGCTTGGAATAAAAAAGAAATACAGAAGCTCCGGGCCTAAATTGCACCAACCATTTTTAAATTGTCCATTTTAAGTTGTCCTTCAGTAGCATGTTGCTTGAGAAGCAGCATGCTACTGAAGACAACCTTAAATGTTTACGTAATAGTTAGAGGAAAAAGGAAAATAGGATAACATAGCATTAATATTGAGCAAAGTAAGATTAATACAGTGCTCTTTACTCTTTCATTATACAACTGATTGCTGCTTGATTTCCTTGTCTGTTTTTTACGTATAGATATAGGAGTGTCCTTCCAATAAAAAAAATTAAAAAACTTTCAGCTTTTACTGATTGTAATAAATAAACCTGTTAAAACTGCCTGTTTATCTTGATATGAGTAATCAACAAAATTGTAACAAACTATGCGCAATGTTTTCTTTCTTTACAATAGAATTCAAAAGAACCTGAGCAGTTATACTAAAACAATTACCAGCCTCAGTCTCAGTGAACATTGTTAAATAATCACTTTGACTTCGTTACAGAGATTATTTAATTACAATGTAATAACAACAGGAAAACTATGATAATTATAATCTCACAATCCTAAACAAAGGAAGTCAGTTTAGAGACTCGCCTGCTACAACTTTTGAGGACTTAAAGTTCTAAAAAAGAAACATGATGAATAGTTACAGTTAATACGAGAGTTGAAAGTTTGAAAGCTGAAAGATATGCATCACAATCATCAAACCCTACACATCCCAGCGAAGATTGGGTCAATTACCGCCATAAATTTCCCAATACATTTCTATTGACGGAGAATCATTAATTTTTGTCAGTAGGTGCCTTTCAGTTAGTACATACAGTAGTTCTGCCGAGCAAAAATACATTTTTTTCAGTTATCTCAGGTAACGTAGAGGGGAAGATCAAGGGAAGAAGCATGAAAAAGTCGATCAAGTGTCACTCCCACCTCACAAAAGGTTTGACGTCGAATCACGAACGCCTGGTACCTAAAGGTCATCGCTACGCCAGTCATAGCCACAAGTTTTTGAAGTACCAACATTTATGCGTTCAGGAAACATTAAGCGATACATCCAGTACAACTCAACTCAATAAAATAATCTTTGGAGGAGTGATGTGACATTGGCAATTCCTTAATGTAGTAGAAGAATTTTGTTGGTCAACTACGAGGTCAAAGAGTTCTGTTAAGAGCTCCAGAATACAAGAGGTTTGTTAAGTAAAGCAGGAGTCAATGAGCTCCAGTAAGAGCTCCCGATCGTTAGAAGGTTGTTGGTCGATCAGAGTCAATAAGCTCTAATAAGAGCTCCTGATCGCAGGAGTTCTATTGGTTAACCAGGGATTCAATGGCTTCCAATAACGAGAGGATTGTTTGTTGATCGGGGTGTCAATGAGCTCTGATAAGAGCTCCCGATCAGAACACGATTTTCGGTCGATCAGGGAGTCAATGAGCTCTGATAAGAGCTCCTGATCG